CCTGACCTGCTCCTGCCGTCTCTTGAGGCTCCATCCGTTGACAAACATACCGCTGAGCCTGCAGGTGGCTCCAGCAGCTGTCACGAGGCTGCCGTCACTACCTCCCTCCTCTCCTCTCGTCACAAGCTTCCCTCCCTCTTTCCCCTCTCCCATCCCTCCCACTCCCTCTCCCCTCCCTGCCTTCTTCCACTCCCTTCGCCTGCTGCTCCTGTGACGCCTCCTGGGTGTCGTCTCGCCGCCGCCGCCCTCCTCCTCCCCTGCCTCCCGCGGCTGCTCGAGATGTCGATGCGTCGGCATGGCCTTGGACGTCTGGCCCTGACGCCTCCGCCTCGCTGGGGGAGGAGGCGGGGGGGGTGGACGGCGGCGGTGCCGGCGACGTGACCTGCTGAGGAGCCGCGGGGGGGGGGGGGGGAGGAGGGGGGCGGCGGCGCCCCGACGCTAAGCCGGCGGGGATCCAGCAGCAGGAGGCGGAGGTGGTAGAAGGAGGGGGGGGGAGAGGAGGTGGTAGGGGTGAAGGAGGGGTCCTCCTCCGGGGGGCTGGTGTCACGCCGGAAGGAGGGCGGCGGTGGCGTGGGCCTCCTTGCTGACGCTGACGCTGCCTGCAGGTCCTGCTTCGTGGCGCTCGCGTCGCTCTCGACGCCCTCGCCAGGCGGGTCCCCGTGCTCGAGGAGGGGATGGGCGTGTAGGGCCTGGCTGTCTTGGAGGAAGGGGTCGGCGAAGGCTGGCTGGCTGGCCGCCATGCGAGCGACAGCCTCGTCCACCGACTCGTCGTGTGCTGCCGGGTCGATGGCTGGGGGAGTCTGATGGTGGAGCAGGCGGTCCCCCATGCTGTTCTTGTCGCTCGGCGAAAGACAGGGGATGAAATAGAGGGGGGCGGGTAGTAAAGAGGTGTGGTAAAAGGAGCAATAGACTCTTGAATCTCAAGGTGCCGTCAGCAAGAAGGGACTGCTGACATATCAAGGCTTCCCCATCTTCAAGTCACAGGCCTGCTGACGTCTCTTTACCACTCTTCTTGCGTCTTGCGGGGGCGAACGAGGAAAGACGGCGGCAACCTGGGGCTGAGCTTGAGCTTGAGCTTGAGCATGAGCATGGGCTTGAGCATGAGCTTGAGCTTGAGTTCGCGTCAGCTATCCGCCCCCAAGCATGGCGCCTACATGCTCTCACACATGCCGCGGCTTGTCTTGCGTAGAATCCTTCAACGACTCGGCGCATCGTCGGTGGGGGCTGGGGAGAGCAGCTTCTGCTGCTGTCGAGGCTTGCTTTGGCTAGAGCGTGTGGGTCTGCCTCCAGGCCATGCAGCCAGGAGTACTCGTCGCTGCCCGCATCAGGGTCGACAGGCTCAGAGGCTGACGGCGCGTTCCCTCTCCATATCGTCGATAGTCGAGCTTGAGCTTCAGGACCTGGGGGTGCAGCTTGAGCGTGAGAGCTCGAGCCCTTAGCCAAGCCTGGCCAGCCTCGAGTGCTGCTGCAGGTCTAGCCTCATCGTCAAGCTTCGGCTCCATCATCAGCATCATCACCAGCCCCTCCATCACCTTGAAGCGCAAGCCCCTGAGCATCGGTCAGGCCTCATCGAGGAGACGATCCTGGCAGGCAGTAAAGCGGGTGGTCAGCAGCAGCAATGCTGACAGCTGGTCATTGGTGCTGACGGCACTTTCAGATATCACTTCCCTTTTACCACACCTCTTTACTACCGCCCCCTCTATTTTACCCTTCGCTCATCTGAGCGACAAGATCAGCATGCAAGACTGCTTCCTCCACCATCAGACTCCCCCAGCCATCGACCCGGCAGCACACGACGAGTCGGTGGACGAGGCTGTCGCCCGCATGGCGGCCAGCCAGCCAGCCTTCGCCGACCCCTTCCTCCAAGACAGCCAGGCCCTACACGCCCATCCCCTCCTCGAGCACTGGCAGTGGGACCCGCCTGGCGAGGGCGTCGAGAGCGACGCGAGCGCGGGGAAGGAGGAGGGCGGGGGAGGGTCGGGGTCAGCAGGCAGGCCCAAGACAAAGCAGCCCGCCTTCAGGCGTCACCCCTGGACCGAGGAGGAGGAGGCGCGCTTCCGGATCGCGCTGGAGATGTTCGGGCCCAAGGAGCGGAGCTTGGTGACGCAGGGCAGGATCCCCGTGGGGCTAGGGGCGGGGGCGGCGAGGAGCATGGCGAGCTTCATCGGGACGAGGTCGGTCCAGCAGGTCAGGTCGCACGCCCAGAAGCACTTCATCAAGCTCGTCTCCTCGGTGTATGATGATGGAGGATGTGTCCTTCCCCCTCCGCCCGACCTCTACGCACGAGTCCGATCTCGTACCGGATATGCTGCATATGTGCCACCCGCTCCTCTTTCGTATGGGCTGGGTGGAGCTTGCCATGATCTCGAGGCAGAGCTTGTAGAACAAGCTGGGATGGCTGAGGCATAGGGTGAGAACGGCGTGCGAGAAGCACACGAAGAAGATGGAGGAGGATGAGTGCAGGCAGAGGGTGATGCAGGTCTCGAACTTGGATTTTACAAGCGGCAACATGATACACCTCTACCACGAATGGAGGAACTCGCAGCTCGATCTACAGACACATCAGAACGCACTCTGCGGGTTGATCATGCAAGACAGGAGGTCGCGAGGAGGTGCATCCGCGAGCTCGTCTCTATCATCGATGCCTACATGGCCATGTGTCAGGGCTCACGGCATGACGTGCAGGAGATCATCGACCGCTCGTGCGTTGAAGGCGATGCAACGCTAGATGACCTGATATTCCGCATGCGATCGACGCTGGAGGAGAACGCCGAGTTCATCCGCACCGTCCTCGAGAGGAGGCAACAGAACTTCAATATCCCAGACTTCCTCTTCCCAGCCGTCGTCAATCCCTAGGCTGCCTGAGCCTGAGCGTCACCTCGTTGTAGGCATCCCTGTCCATGTCGTATATGGTCTTCAGGATCACTGACTCATCCCTGTCAAAGACGTCGCAGTAGGTGTCGATCAGCATGATTACGTGATCGCTCCATTCCTCCCCGTGTGACCAGCGGCGTATGGTCGTCAGGGCTACCTGCAGGATGGGCTTGACGTGCCCGTTGGGGGTGGAGCTTCCGCTTCCTGAACCCGTGTAATGATCGCTTATCCTCATCCCCTTCCTGCCGTAGACGACGTCGCGGCTTGTGAGGCCATCCCAGCACCTCACCTGGGAGGAGTAGGACCGGATGTTGGAGAGGAGGTTCATCACGCTGCTGATGAAGTGAGGATAACCGTATGGACAGTGGTGGATATGCGAGCAATCCTAAGCGCTGCATAGCGCGCACTTGAAGTCGTTCACGCAGAGGAGGCAGACGCGGCTGGGCTCTGCAAAGACGTTATCGATCGCTCTGCACCTCCGGATGTAGTTCGAGACGATGTTGGCGATATTGTCGTTGCAGCGACGCACCTTGGGGCACATGATGGAGAGCTGGTCGTTTATGTTGCGCTCCATGTGGCTCACAAAGTTGTCCGACCACGTAGACAGGAGGCGCCCGATCGTGAACGTCCCCTTATTCGGGGCGAAGTTCACAAAGGGGACGCCGTGGACCTGGGACATGTATATGAGCATCGTGATCTTGCAATACATGTGCAGCGTGTTGTTGCTCTGTATGCACACGGTGTTCATCAGCTGCAGGCAGAGGCCGTCGCATCCGCACTTGCAGTGAGGGAGCATGTTCCAGAACTTCTCGTCGCTCGATCCCTGGTAGAATTCACGGATGCACTCACACACGACCGCCCCGCTCATGGTGCATCCGACGAAGCTTATGCGATCGAAGAGATTGGTGATGTGCCTATGCCCGGCCTTAACCAAGTATTCCGAGAAGATGTACTTCAAGATGCGTGATTCCTTCACGTCCAGCGCCTTTATGAGGTATGCCTTGACGTAGGTGGTGAAGATCACGGGCTCGTTCCGGAGGAGCTCGGACGTGACGATGAGGAAGTTGCAGCCGTACCATTTCTGGTTCAAGGAGCTCAGCAGGTGTGGTCGGTAGTCGTGCATCATCAGGAATATCAGGATGTACATCCTTGCGGTCCTCACCACGCTCTTGCGCAGCGCCTCGGGGACATTGGCGTCGACGTGTGCCAACCCTTGATCGATGTTATTGTATAGCTCGGAGCAAAGCACGCGCCTGGGATCGCCGGATGCCAACTTCCCCATCATCATCCTCTCGAATAAACGGATAAACGCATCCTCGCTCGCTCCGGTGAACTCGATGAACTCGTCGTCGGTCCCAAAGACTCGCGGCCACTCGTTCTTCAGGCGGTTGGCCCGCTCGTTGGGTCCTGCGCTGTAGGCGACGCGGACGTGGATCGCGGCATCCCTGATGATACGGAGGTCGTAGGTACGGACGTCTGTGATTACGGTGTTCCTTTCCTTGCTGAGTGCCATTGACATTTGCGGATATCCTTATGCGTGGGCTGGGGAGAATATGGGAGGGTTGGGTGTCCCTACCGCTCAGTTATAGTGGAACGCGGGTTGGTGGGTAGGGACCGCCAGGGAGAGGTAGGTGACGACCACCCCTCCCTCCTCCACCCACTGCTGGAAGGATGCGGGCCACTCGTAGGCCACGGGCACGGCGAAATGGCTCTGCTCCGAGGTGATCCTCCCCATGCAGGCCTTGGACGCCGCCCATAGACTCGTGGAGGGCTGCACCTTGGCGATGTCCTGTAGCCACGACCGCATTCCCTCCTCGCAGAGCGCGTCGTCGTCGGCCAGGCGGAGGACATCGATGAGCCTCGGAGGCCCACGGTGGTAGTCCTCGGGATGCAGTTCATGGGGTTGTCAGCGAAGCAGATGGTCTGGAACGCCCTGCTCAGGATGAGATGGCGCGTGCCTTGGTAGTCGAACATGCGGTTGTCCTGAACGAGGTTGTCTATGAGGCCGGCTAGCGCGTTGCCAATGACGTGGACCATGACGATCTCTACCTGTGATATCCCAGGCATGCCGAGGGCGATCTGCAGCACGGAGGACTGGATGGATATCCCTCCCACCCTCATCCAAGAGCTGTACTCCTCCCATGTCCCATTGAGCCCCTCTCTTACGCTGGCGTTGAGTGTCCGAGTGTCGTAGGCGCTGAAGACCGCGGGGCACGCCCTGAGGAAGCCATGCAGGCTTGTCACCCCGGCGCCCGTGAAGGTATAGATGGGTTCCGTGTTGGAGAGGAGGAGCGTCACCCTGATGCTGTCAAAGGCCATGGTTGGGAGCTCCAGGAAGATCCACATTGACTTTGCAGATGGCCATGTCTGCAGGCCTCGGCAGTCGCTCCCGGAATGGATGAGCACCTCTCCCTCTAGCCAACCGTTGCCCTTCCAGCAGTGCGGGCCCGGGATCGCGGCGAGGTGATGGCAGACCTGGGATTCAGCGAGCACATCCACGCCGCCCATGCTCAGCTTGAAGGTCATGGCCTGAGGCCGGGTGAGGAGCGCCTCCGGGCCAGAGAACATGAATCTCACCCCCACCACAGAGCTCTGGTCGAAGTGGTAGACGGACATCGATAAATGGTTCATCATATCTGATCTCACCCTCTCGAAGACGGAGAACGTACCGGCGACAGTCTTGCTGAAGGAGAATTTGTGGAACACGCTGCTGTATCCGAGGCTGAACTCCGGGTTCAGGCTGAGGAACGAGGCGGCGAGGTAGAAGGAGCAGTTCAGTGAGGACTGTCCCCATGGTGTGCAGTTCAATGCACGGGGAAACCGGTTGACATAGAGCGAGAAGGGGTTGTACCCACCCACGGTGGGTGAGATGTCCATGAAACCGTAACTGTCTGTCTCATAGGGGATGATGCGATCCTGGACGGCCAGGTCCCACTCCTCACAGGTGCAATTGGAGGTGTGGTTCTCCCATCCACAGCCGAGTGCGACCGATTGCATGCTATCTCCCATGTAGCCCTCGCTGATGAGGGGCATGCAGCATTCCCCACACTCGAAGGGACTTCCTATGACGTAGAGGATCGGGAGGCTTGCACCCGGGGTGTATTGCACCCTCATCTCACCCTGCAGGCTGTCTAGCAGATGGTCCGCATGGATATTCCGAAACGACAGATCGTAAGCCAATGGGGTGAGATCGGCGGCACTGGGTTGGCAGCTGCCGCTGGTGTCATCCTGCACGAAACCAAAGTCACAGGCGATCACGCATTGGTCACCGATGATGTAGTAGTGCTTTGCGATGCTGTCTGTCGTCGGGCACACGGTGCATGCATCGTCGTTGACGCCCCGCTTGAAGCCACTGCTGGTGCATGGGCGGCACACCTTTACCTGTGCGGCCTCGTCGTAGGACTGCAGGCCATAACCATCGATACAGAGACATTCTGAAGGAGAGGCGGTGCCAGGACCCACCGTGGTGGTGTACAGGCCCACGGCGGAGCATGGGAGGCACTGGGCCTGGCCCGAGAGGGGTTGGAAGTACCCGGTTGGGCAATCCTGGCATGCCTCCGTGCTCCCGTCTCTCGCCTTGAACTTGCCCGGAGGGCAGGCATCGCACCTCTCTCCCACCCTCTCGTAGCCACGGTAGCATAGGCATCCCTCGATGCTCACCGTCGCACCTCTTCTCGTAGCCGGGGATGCATCTGCAGTACGACTCCGAGCTGGATCCGGATGTCGATATCGAGTTCAGCGGGCAGGAGGAGCATCCCGTGCTGGCAAGGGCGTCTGCGTATGTGTTCTCGGGGCAGGTGGTACAGCTGTAATTCCCGGGACCCGCCTTGTACTGACCCATCGGGCACGCATCGCATGATAGCCTACCCCCATCCATGCTGGCTCCGAAGCCGGGGAGACGCTGTAGCGGGTGCTGTTCCCGGGGCAGGAGGTGCAGACCTCCGACGTGTTGGCGGCGATGACCAGCGAGTACTGGTTCGGGCCGCACTCGATGCATGCCGCGAGGTTGTACTGGTCGGTGTAAAAACCCTTCGGGCACGCTGAGCAAGCGTCTCCCTCCCTGTAATAACCTGGGATGCAGAGGCACCCACCAATCGAACCCGTGGAGGGTTGTGAGACCGAATGCAAGGGGCACCGGAGGCACTCGCTTATGTTAGTGGCCACGGTGTTGGGTTGGTAGGTGTCCGTGGGACAGGCCGTGCACGCCGCCATGCTCCTCGTGTCCTTGTAGGTCCCAGGAGGACAGGGCTCACACTGGGTGTTCCCAGGGCCGGAGTACCCATACTCGCAGACGCAGCTCATGATGCTCGACGAACTATTGAATGACCAGGAGTGATTCGGACAGGGCATGGCAGGGTCGAGGCTCCCCGCGCAGTAGTAACGCTCCGGGCAGACATCACATACACCGTTGGGTAGGAGATAGGTTGAGGGCTTGCACGCACACTCCTCCACACGCGAAATGCCCTGCTTGGAGTAGGTGCCGTTGGGGCAGGGCTCGATACTGTAGTACCCCGCGCAGTAGAAGTCGTAGGGGCAGATGTTGCAACCGTCTCCCTGCTTGCCGATCTCGCTGTAATACCCGCCCTCGCATATGGCCAGCCATCCAAGGCCGTGCGTGCGCATTGACCACCCAGGAGGCGTCACAGTAGCAGCCAGCGAGGAGACTAGCAGAGGACAGGTCAGCAGTGTAGAGGGAGAGCAGGCAGTCTTGTGACGAGAGGAGAGGAGGGAGGTAGGGAGGGCAGACTGTGGCTGGAGCCGCAAGCGGGCTAAGGGTGCTTGTGTTGGTTGACGGATGGAGCCTCAAGAGAGGCATAGATCTGGTCAGCAGGAAAGCCACAGCACGACAAGATATCAAGGAGGGAAGGGAGACCGTAGGAGTAACTCTCTCTTGTGTAATACAAGTCATGACATGGTGAAGCCTGATGCTCTGAGAGATAGCGCTCGTCCGCTTGGTGCCGACAGACGTCGAGGGCGCCATGGCAGGCCGGCAGCGAGAGAGGCAGGAGAGGACGAGGGCGTCCGCATCCGAGCCGGAAGAGGGACTAGCAGCATGGACCAGCAGCCAGTCAAGCACAAGGAACGAGGAAGAGAAGAAGATATACAATCATGTCAGCAGGCGTTGCTGCTTGCTCGACCCGCTTCCTCTGAGAGATAGAGGATGAGAGCAGACGGGCCTAAGGGCTCGAGCTCTCAAGCTCAAAGCCTGACGCATCAGCTTGAGCAGCACTATCCACATCATCACAACGGCTACCAGGCACGTCAGCCTCTGAGCCTGTCGACCCTGATGCGGGCAGCGACGAGTACTCCTGGCTGCATGGCCTGGAGGCAGACCCACACGCTCTAGCCCAAGCAAGCCCCCACCGACGACGCGCCGAGTCGTTGAAAGGTTCTACACCTAACCCGCCGCTGGATCTGCCTGGCATGTGTGAGAGCATGTAGGCGCCATGCTGGGTCGGGGGCAGGCGCTGGACGAGCTCACAGGTGCTAGCCGAGGCGCATGGGCAGGTGGAGGGAGGGCTGCTGAGGGCACAGACGTCGAGAGCAGCATCGCAGGCAGGCATGAAAGAAGGAGAGGAAGAAGGCGTCGGCGTCGGCGTCGTGGAAGGCGGAAGGCAGGAATGGTCACTGAGTGGTAAAAGTCACCGGGGTAGTAAAGTCACAGCACCTGTCAGCAAGGCGTCGCTCCAGTGCCGTTGGGCACATGGATGAGAAGTAGCTTAGTTAGTCCTCTGCGTTCCTCTCAGAGCATCAGGCTTCACCATGTCATGACTTGTACTATACAAGAGGCCGTTACCCCTACGTTCTCCCCTTCCCTCCCCTTCCTTCTTCCTAGCTCACATACCCTCCTCCCTGACACCATCCTCCTGACCTGCTCCTGCCGTCTCTTGAGGCTCCATCCGCTGACATACCGCTGAGCGTGCAGGTGGCTCCAGCAGCTGTCACGAGGCTGCCGTCACTACCTCCCTCCTCTCCTCTCGTCACAAGCTTCCCTCCCTCTTTCCCCTCTCCCATCCCTCCCACTCCCTCTCCCCTCCCTGCCTTGTTCCACTTCCTTCGCCTCCTGCTCCTGTGACGCCTCCTGGGTGTCGTCTCGCCGCCGCCGCCCTCCTCCTCCCCTGCCTCCCGCGGCTGCTCGGGATGTCGATGCGTCAGCATGGCCTTGGACGTCTGGCCCTGACGCCTCCGCCTCGCTGGGGGAGGAGACGAGCTTGATGAAGTGCTTCTGGGCGTGCGACCTGACCTGCTGGACCGACCTCGTCCCGATGAAGCTCGCCATGCTCCTCGCCGCCCCCGCCCCTAGCCCCACGGGGATCCTGCCCTGCGTCACCAAGCTCCGCTCCTTGGGCCCGAACATCTCCAGCGCGATCCGGAAGCGCGCCTCCTCCTCCTCGGTCCAGGGGTGACGCCTGAAGGCGGGCTGCTTTGTCTTGGGCCTGCCTGCTGACCCCGACCCTCCCCCGCCCTCCTCCTTCCCCGCGCTCGCGTCGCTCTCGACGCCCTCGCCAGGCGGGTCCCCGTGCTCGAGGAGGGGATGGGCGTGTAGGGCCTGGCTGTCTTGGAGGAAGGGGTCGGCGAAGGCTGGCTGGCTGGCCGCCATGCGAGCGACAGCCTCGTCCACCGACTCGTCGAGTGCTGCCGGGTCGATGGCTGGGGGAGTCTGATGGTGGAGCAGGCGGTCCCCCATGCTGTTCTTGCCGCTCGGTGTAAGACAAGTGATGAACTAGAGGGGGGCGGGTAGTAAAGAGGTGTGGTAAAAGGGGAAATAGGCTCTTGAATCTCAAGGTGCCGTCAGCAAGAAGGGATTGCTGACATATCAAGGCTTCCCCATCTTCAAGTCACAGGCCTGCTGACGTCTCTTTACCACTCTTCTTGCGTCTTGCGGGGGCGAACGAGGAAAGACGGCGGCAAGCTGGGGCTGAGCTTGAGCCTGAGCTTGACTCAGAGCTTGAGTCTTCATCGGCTTGGGCTAGAGCGTGTGGGTCTGCCTCCAGGCCATGCAGCCAGGAGTACTCGTCGCTGCCCGCATCAGGGTCGACAGGCTCAGAGGCTGACGGCGCGTTCCCCCTCCATATCGTCGACAGTTGAGCTTGAGCTTCAGGACCTGGGGGTGCAGCTTGAGCGTGAGAGCTCGAGCCCTCAGCCAAGCCTGGCCAGCCTCGAGTGCTGCTGCAGGTCTAGCCTCATCGTCAAGCTTCGGCTCCATCATCAGCATCATCACCAGCCCCTCCATCACCTTGAAGCGCAAGCCCCTGAGCATCGGTCAGGCCTCATCGAGGAGACGATCCTGGCAGGCAGTAAAGCGGGTGGTCAGCAGCAGCAATGCTGACAGCTGGTCATTGGT